TCTTACATATTTCTTACACTCTAAAGCTTGGTACAAAATTAAAATTATACTCTTAAAGTTGTAACAGAACTTCCAGGGCACATACTGGTTCCTTGCACCAAGTTCAAGCCTAACACATAATTAGTAAAATTAGGAAATAGGAAAGAGAACCTATTTTAACACAGTGTTAACTATGAAGTCACAATGAAAAAAGTCAACCCTGAATTATTCTTTAAATTATGTGGCTCAAACACATGACACAGCTGATCAAGTAATGAAAAGTAGGCACACAGTGAGTTTCTTAGGAACATTTGTTCAAAATAACTATAGGGAACAACTAAAAACTGTCAACCTAAAGGTCCAATAATAAGGCACTGTTTGGCAGATAATAATGCAAGTACGTGCTAGTCATGAAAACTATGTAATAACACAGAAAAATATTCACAGGAGTAGCTAATAAGTGGAGAATGGCAAACTGCATATAAAGCAAGATCATAACTATGCTTTTGAAAAATAAGCACCTCGGCATTGAAAGGGAAAAGTGGAAGGAAACTAAGAGCAGGGTTATGCTTGCATGGTAGGAATACAGATAACTTGGGTAGGCTTTTTTCCTGTTTTCTGAATGATCTTTCAAGAGTAAATATTTTTATTTGACACAACATTGTACAATGATTATAAATCAATAAAAAATGTTAAAAAAAGAGAAAATATTTGTATAACTTTTAAAAAATCGTTTACACCCAATTAGGGCATGGCATTTCTACTTATGAATCTCTTATACCCAACATGTGTTATACATTAATGCAAAGAAATAATTTTTAAAATAGTTAAATATAACTACACAGAAGTTTTCAAATTTTTAATCTAACTAGACTAGTCCAACTCCTAATTGAATGTGAAGATATTTTATTTAGGAAGAAACAAACAATATGTTCAATATTCTTCACACTTCAAGTCTCCTTTACTCTTCACCTGCTCCTCACTCTTGGCAAATGACCTTGCTTCTTTGAGAGAATAAAAACACTGCCCCATCACTACCTCTACCAATCCACCTGCACTTGAATCTGAACCTCCTATTACTAGGAATGAACTGCCCATGCCCCGCTCTAAGGTTAACCCCTTGTGTTCTGTATTTCATTTCCTCTCACTGCCCTGCAATTGCCCCCTCTTCTCCCGCGTCAATTCTTCCTTCCTACAGGAGCATCCTCATCTGGATACAAACTTACAACAGTAATTCCCATCTTAAAAACAAAAAAATTCTCCTTTAGCTCATTTCCATTTTCCCTTCTAGGTACCAACCCCATTTCTCTGCTTCCCTTTATAACTAAACTCTTCTGAATTGTCTACGTTTGCATCCTCACTTCTTCCCTAACCATTCTCTCTTACGCCCACCTTCAATCTGACTTTCATACTCACCTCTTTACTTAATCAGCTTTCATTAAACTTACCAAAAATTAAATGCTCTCCAAACCTAATGGAGAATTCTCAGTCCACAACTTGCTCAAACTTTAAGCAGCATATGACATAGTTGATTATTCTCTCCCTCTTGAAACACTTTATTCTGTAAGCTTCTGGAGCATACTCTCCCTTGGCTTTCCTCGTATCTCACTGACCACCCTTCTCAGTCTGCTTTGCTAAGTCCTCCTCATCTTCTCAATTTCTAAACATTGGAGTTCTGAGCTTAATCCTTAAACTTCCTCTTTTCTCTATATCACTTCTCAGATGATCTCCTTAACTCTCATAGCTTTAAGTCACCCACGCACTGATGACTCCCAAATATGTATTTCCAGTCCAGACCTCTGTCCTGAACTCCTGACACATATCCCCAAACCCCTAACTAAACATCTCCACATGGATGTTTAATAAGCACCTAAACTAAACTATTGATTTATTTCCCCAAACCTACTCCTCTCAGTCTTCTCCATCTCAAGAAATGGCACCTCCACTTTTCCAGTTGCTCATGCAAAAATCCAAGAGGCATCCTTGATGCCTCTGTTTCTGTCACATTCTATGCAGAACTATCAACAAATCCTACTGCTCCTTCTTTTTAAGCATATCGTGATCTAAACATTTTCATTTCTTACTTGTATTACAATAGATTCCTAGCTTGTCTCCTGCTTCTGCCCTTGCACCTCCCACCCTGCTCCACAATGTATTCTCCACACAACAGTTTCTGCAGAGATCTTTCTGAAATATAAATCAAGAAGTTGGTGCCCTCAGCAATAGTAGGATAATTTGGACGAACCCTACTATTGAAAGCATCTAAACATGCTGGATTAAAAACAAAAAAACCTTAAAAACATTAGAGAGCCCTAAAACAGTAAAGAGCTACAAAAGTATTCTTTTCAAAACTGAAAACAAAATAGGAACTCCAAAGGCTAAGAGGAGAACTGCAGGCACTTACTCTAAAGTCATCTGACAACTGAGGCAAATCTGAACTTTGGTTTCAGTGACATCAATGAGAGGGGAATGGAATTAAAAACTCAAGATTATCCAAGCTAGAATGTCTAATAGAAGACCCTCTTTATATTAAGCTTGAACCTCAAAGGGCTACATATTCAGGGTATAAACCAGCAGCCCTCACATGGACTTGCAGTTAGAATTCACAACAACTAGATATTTAAAAAAAATCCCTCAAGCTGTGGATTTAGTTTAAAGTAGTCCCTGGGCTCCTTGCAGCAGCAAACTCAAATCCTCTATGCAGAAATAAAGCTTCAGCCTACATCTCAAATTTTTTCTACAAATACTCTTTTCAACACAATGAATGGCATATATTCAGAACAAAGCACGAGTGAGAACTAGCAAAATACAATAAATACCAGAAACAGACAAAACTTTAAATATTATAATTATCAAACAAGAACTAAATGTTTAAAGAAACAAAAGGTAAGCTTGGAGAGATCTGCACGGAATAGGAAACCATAAAAAGTGACAAAGTAGATTTAAGAAAGAACAAAATAGAACTTCTATAAATAAGTAAAGACACCCACACATACACACACATATATCAAAAATAAATAAGAAAGTATTTACAGATGAAATATATCTCGATTAGCTTTAAAATAATCCAGGTTTGGGGCAGGATGGGTGGAAAGAGTATATAGAGGGGATATAAGGTAAAAATAAGACTGGCCATATACTGAAAATAAAGATGACTGACAGGTACGTGGGAGTTTACTATTCCATTCTCTCTACTTTTATACATGTTTAGAATTTTCCATAATAGAATGTTTAAAGTGAGTTATGTCCAAAATCAACAAGGCGCTACTTACTCTGACACATACAATACTCAGACAATATTGTCTTACCTTTCTGCCCTCATCTCCTACTACTTTGCCCTCTTCCTGTGCTCCAGGCACACTGGAACACCCCAGCACACTTCTGCCTCTGGCCTTTTCCACTGCTATTCCCTCTGCTTAGAATACTCTTCTCCAAGATACTCACATAGCTAGCAACCTTATTTCTTCAGAGGCCTCTTTAGCTCTCTAGTTTAGCTTCTCATCACAATGACCTTCCCTCTGACTACTCTAAAATCACACACATACTCACACACACTGTTGCTCTAGCCTCTTTATAGCACTTACTAGCATTATTTGTTTCCTCTATCCTTCAACTAGAAATGTAAGGTTCTTAAAGAAAAATTCTGTTTTGTTTACATTCATAGCACCTCAAACACTGAATGGCTCCTGGTAAGCATCCAACTAATATATGTTGAATGAATAGATTGATGTTGAATAAAAGTAACTAATGAAATTAACGCAAGACTATTTGAAGATAGCCAAGTATTCCAGAATCTATGCATTGTCCAAGTTTATGTCATTTACTTTGTATCCGTTTCTGATTTATGCTTCATCTCCATGATTTCTATCATGAAGAGATCAATAGGATAACCTGGTCTTCTAATAGCCAAAACAGAATCCACCACAGCCTGGAAGAGAAATGAATGAGAACAGGAAATTATTTGGCTTACTGAAAGAAACCACTGGCCCAAATGATCTATCACCAGACTAAGGAGATAAAGTGCTTCAGGCTCAAAAACCTAGGGCAAGGCCAAAAAGGGCCACTTGGTCATGGACACTAATAATAACTCATGCTAATGGATACTGTAGAGCCAAAAGGACCTTCAAAGATTATCAAACCCTTAATTCTACAGATAAAAAAAAGATAAGATTAGACTTTGAGAAGTTATGGTCTTAAAACAAGATCTAACAGGTAGTAGCAGAGCCAGGACTAGGAATCATGTCTCTAAATGCCAAGTCTACTGAGTACCAACACTACTCAAACTTTTCCACCAAAGAACACCTTAATGGAAAAGAAAGAAATGTAATCCAAGGAAAGAGTTAAAATTTACTGGCTATAACAACATGAAATTTTTTAAGTCTTATGTTTTAACATGAAAAGTTTCCATGTCATGACCTAATATATACATGTTTGTTTTAATGTGAAAATAATACTTTTACCCAAAATCACAAAGTAAAATTGACATTTCAGAAAGACATGTCTCTAGTAAACAATTTCATGGTTACTGGGGAAAGGGGTGGGAAGGGATACATTTGGGAGTTTAAGATTTACAAATATTAGCCACTATATATAAAAATAGATTTTTAAAAAGTTTCTTCTGTATAGCACAGGGAACTATGTTCATTATCTTGTAATAACCCTTAATGAAAAAGAATATAAAAACGAACATATGCATGTATATGCATTCCTGGGACATTGTGCTGTATACCAGCAATTGACACACTGTAACCCACTGTACTGCAATAAAAAAAAAAGACATGTCTCATTTATTCTTCCAGATATCCCCAGGAATATGCAACTTGAGAAGCACAGCACAACACAGCCTACTGCTTAGCTCAGAAGGTAATATGAAAATAACTGACTACAGAAATTAAGTGGTATAGTATAACCATCCTAAAATATAAATAAAGCAAAAAAAAAAAACCCTGTATCTTAGAAAAGTTTATTGAGGTAGCATGATTTCGATGCCTAATAGAGAATAATGACAAACCATTGGAAAGTGAGTGTACTAGTGTTTCTGTAACTCCGAAAGAGAATGGATGTCCTAACCAGATAGCATGAAGATTCTGGGCCACATAATATACGTATTCTAACAGCAGAAAATACAGCAGAATCTTTATTTGGACTCTGCTCAGCAAGAGATTGTCTTAATTTCTTAATCTTAATCTGATTTCCTGTAGGTGTTCCTAACAGTAAGGAAAATTGACCAGAAACAACTCAGGCATTCCAGTCCATTTGGTATTTATATTTCTCAAAGTAAATTCATAAGACAACACTCTGATTTATACATCAATGTCTATGAATTTAGTTATTATGAGCTCATCATTCCTGACAAACTAATATATTCAAGTTTCAGAAACTGCAAAGCTAAGGAACAATGATGATATCATCAGACTACAGCTACCTGATAAAAGCCTTCCCAAAATACCCAATCTTGCCTTGATATTATATATATTCTACTTTTAGAAGTAAACAAGCATCCATTTCCCAGATGTGAATATTATCTATCAAATCAGCCATGTTCATTAAAATGCTAACCTTAACTCCAAGGCCCTGCCAAAACAACTTCCTCAATCTCACACAATAAATACAGACCTCTAGGTTTAAGAGACCCATCACCCCAAGGGCTTCCACAGGGTATGATCCACAGGCAGCCACCCCTCTCCCAACTTTCAAGTTAACTTAAAAGAAGGCTTAATATGACACTTTTGAAAAATTACACATACTGTTCTGACCAATCAAATCTACTCTATAAAGAAGCCTATAAATGTCTGTCTTCTATATTTTATTGTATTTTCAAAAGAAACACAAGCAATAGTTGATTATCTTATAGGAAAAAGAAAAATATCATCATGCGTGAGGCTGTACTCATTCTGTAAAAGTTTAACCACATACCTCTGTTAACACATCAGCCAGTTCAGGATGAACTTTAGTTTGTAGAGATGTTCTAGCCACATCTAAGAGGATTTCTCTTTTCATCTCTTTTTTAATTTTAACTTCTTCCAAAACTTCAAGTGCCTTTATTTTTGCAACTT